AGAGAAAGACTGGATATGCTGCAGATTAAAGGAACCAAAGGCAACATAACAACTCAATATAAAACGTGGCTCTAGACTGAACCTTGCAGCAGAAGTCACCAGGTCAACTAACAACTGGCACGTGAACAGTGGGTTAGAACAAAGTGCTGTTATCAACGCAAATTTACAAAGTTAACAACTGTCCTGAGGTCATGTAAGAGAATATCCCTTTTTGAAGTATTTAGGGGTAACACAGAATGTACAGAACTTATCTCATGGGCTCTGGAAAAAAGGATGTATTTATGTATCCATTGTCTAGTTATTTATCAAAAGAGATCATAAATAATAAAGCCAATAGGGAAATGTTAGTAGGTAAATTTAGATGAAAAGTGTAAGACATTCTTTGTACTTTTATTTTTGCAATTGTTTTTAAGTTTGAAATTACTCCCAAATGAAAGTTGTTTTTAAAAAAGCAATTATCTTAAAAACTCAAGTGATACCATAGGTTTGCTAAAAATTCAGCTTAATTCCAGTCACAGGAAATTTAGCACCTAAAGTGTAATAAACCCTCCTTTGACTGACTGGTTTTTCATTCTGGTTCTGAATAAACCTGATGTTTCTTTTCACTGAGTCCCTCATGGCCAGTTTGCAAATTCATCTGTCCCTAGCTTTGAGTGAGTAAGTTTCTACATACTGACCATAATACCCACACATCACCCCCAAAATATCAAAACAGGATCTGGAAAACTTTTATCATATTTATATAAATGAATAAGTCTATATGTTCACTCACATTTGCTAACTCTACCTTTTAAAGTAGCATCTCTTTGTGAAGCCATTCCTAATATCCCAAGGTAGAGAGAGCTTCTTTGTGCCCTTCGTACTGTTAATGATCTTCCAATCATTATACATTTATATCCCTGAACTGTCACTCTATGCCAAACTGAGACTTCCATTCATCTGAGAAAAACATTTCAATTGTCATCTGGTAGTGCTGTCAGTTAACTTTTCAGAAGTCTCACTATATGGGTCTAAATTTAGTAGTATAAATTTAAGCAATTATTAAAATATTTTAATTTAGATATTTATATTTAAAATAAGTGGAAAGTGAAAAATTAAAATGCCAGTGATAATCATAATATATCTTGAGCAAAAAATGAAAACCACCAAGGTACCAAAAGCATAAATCTTTAGCCACAAATCTTTTTTAAATAAAGAACATATATGAAATGCTCAGCCTCTAAATAATGAAGTACAGTGAAGCAAAAAATAACATAATGAACATTCATAATTATGAACTGAGAGACCAGTATTTCCATTTCATGATGGAAGTATATACTCTGAGGGAATCCCCGGTTGTCCAGTGGTTAGGACTCAGTGTTTTCACCACAGTGGGCCGTGTTTAATCCCTGGTCAGGGAACTAAGATCCCACAAGTCATGCGGTATGGCCAAAAAAGTAAAAAGAATATATCTTGACTGAACCAGATAAAGGACAGGAATATAAAAAGCAAAGAGAAGCTTTAAAAAATGGTCCAGACTCATAAGTAATCAAAAAAATTCAAATTAAAACAAAAAAAGGTTTCCTTTATATTTCAAAATGTCAAAAATCATTTAAAAATAAAAAAGCTACCACTTGTTGAATGCCTAAATATGCCAGGTAATTTCTAGGCGTTTTTAAAAAGAACGTTTATAAGCTTTTTTATTTTACAATTCTTTTGGATTAACAGAAAAATCACAAGAATATTACAGAGAGTTAGCATATACCCTGTACTCAGTTCCTTATTATATTACTATGGTACACTTGTCATATATAATGAGTCAATAGTGATACATTTTTATTAACTAAAGTCCATATTTTATTTGGGTTTTCTTAGTTTTCATATAATGTCCTCTTTCTGTCCTACTATTCCATCCAGGGTATCACATTACATTTAATCATCATGTCTCCTTATTTTTTCAGACTTCATTGTTTCTGATGACCTTGACAGTTCTGAGAAGTACTAGCCAGATTATTTTGTAGGATGTCCCTCTATTTGGGTACAGACTATCAACACAGCTTATCACTGTGGATGTTAGCCCTGGTCACCTGGCTGAGGTAAGTAGTATTTCAGGCTTCTCCACTATAAATGACTCTTTTCCTCCCTTTTCCACACTGTACTGTTTGTCACACTGAGTGAAGTCAGAGAGAGAAAGACAAATATCATGATACCGCTTTTATGTTGAATCTAAAAAAAAAGTGTACAAATAAACTTATTTACAAAACTGAAAGAGTCACAGATGTAGAAAATAAACATGTGGTTATGTGGGGGTGGGGGCGGTTAGGAAAGGGGAAGGATAAATTGGAAGATTGAGATTAACATTTACACACTACTATATATAAAATAGATAACTAATAAGGACCTAATGTATAGCACAGGGAACTCTACTCAATATGCTATAATGGCCTATATGGGAAAAGAACCTAAAAAAGAGAGGATATATGATATATAGAACAGATTCACTTTACTGTACAACCTGAAACTAACACAATAGTGTTTATCAACTATATCCCAAAAAATATAAAAAACAAAAAACAAAGCAAAAAAATACATTTTGAATTAATTTTATCTAAAAATAGCAACAAGGCATCAAAGTCTGCATCACATTTTGCTCATCTCCTTTGCTGATTAAAATAAGTCTCCCCCCCCCCAATTAAAATTGAATCTTGCCTATAAATGTCATTTTAAGAAAACAAGGGGAACAAATTAGAGATAATAAATTATCTGAGAAAGTTTTATTATTTAACACTGATTAATGTTTTCATGTTTAAAAGTATATTCAGTATTAAGACACAGAAATTTAAAAAAAACAAAAACAAAAACTAGAGCACAAACAAGGATGCAGAAAATCATTAGCCCTCTGAGAATAGAGATGACCATTACAACTCCCTTCCTTCTGACAAATTCTCAATTCTTATCTTAACTAAGCCTCTCCAGAATTTGATACTGTTGATCAATTCTTCCATCTGTAACCCTTCCCTGTAGTTGATGTCTGTGGCTTTAACTACTGCCTCGAGTCCACAGTAAATACATGCATACAGTTAAGGGCTCTCTCAAGAGCTTCCTATTTATAATATCTCTCCTTCTTGGATGTCACATAGGTACCTTAATTACAACATTCTCAGAACTGAATTTTTACTGGTCATCTGGTGACGTGGATGAACCCAGAGCCTGACACGCAGAGTGAAGTATGTCAGAAAGAGAAAAACATATATAAGGAATCTAGAAAAATGGTACTGATGAACCTATCTGCAGGGCAGGAACAGAGCTGCAGTCAGAGAACAGACTTGCGGACACAGTATGGGAAGGAGAGGGTGGGACGAACGGAGAGAGTAGCACTGCCAGATATACACTGGTATCTGTCTATCTATACACATGGTATATCTGTATATCTGTCTATCTATACACATGGTATATCTGTATATCTATCTATACACATGGTATATCTGTATATCTATACACATGGTATATCTGTGTATCTGTCTATCTATATACATGGTATATCTGTATATCTGTCTATCTATACACATGGTATATCTGTATATCTGTCTATGCACATGGTATATCTGTATATCTATACACATGGTATATCTGTATACCTATACACATGGTATATCTGTATATCTATACACATGGTATATCTGTATATCTATACACATGGTATATCTGTATATCTGTATATATATATACACATGGTATATCTGTATATATATACACATGGCAATGTGTAAAACAGACAGCTAATGGGAAGCTACCAGATACCTTGAGGAGCTCAGCTCCATGCTCTGATGACCTAGAGGGGTGGAACAGGGGTGGGCAGGAGGGAGGGAATATATTATACACACAGCTGATTCACAGCAGAAACTAACAGAACACTGTAAAGCAATTAGACTCCAATTAAAAAACACTTTAAAACAGCACCTGCCTTGCACATGAATAATCTACAGATAATATATACTGCTATGTCTAATAAACACTGAGCACTCTTAAAAAAAAAAAAAAAACTGAGTATTTTCTCCCATTAAACCCACTTTATTTTCTCATGTTTCCAACTCAGTTTCCCATACTGCCATCCATGTATCTGCACATAAAAGGAACCCGGGTTCCCCAGAGTAAGCTTTAACTCTTCCCGTTATCTTCATGCCCGATTCCAATCAAACACTATTACGTCTCTGTGCCCATCCCATTGCCTTAATGTTCATGATCTCCCCTTTCTTTGATTATAGCAACAACCTGTAAACTGGTCTCTGCCACCAGTTACTACCTATCTCCAATGCCTAAGTATATTCAGTAAATTCACAGTAATCACTACATATTTTTATAGGAAACACATCTAAATTAGGATGCTGAATAAAAACAAATGCACAAATTACTTTACACAAATCAGGTATGTGGGAAATGTGGAGTCAAAAGAAAATAATGAGAATTAGTACTTTCCAGGAGAATTAATAATAGCATACCTCAATGTACACTTCAACAAAATGTCTAATACTCAATATGCTTAACTTTACACCTACTACTGGAATTACTGCGTTATATTGAAGTAGTAGAGATAAGTAATAGAAATGTTCTTTCCTTAAGATTTTAAAATGAAGATATTGCTGGGAAAACAAAACTAAATATATCTGAAAATATTTCATTTTTAATACCTCTTGCTCTTTATGCTATTAGGAAACAATAAAGCAAAAGAGAAGAAAGACATAGATGTTGAAGTCAATTCTAATAAAATTTTGTTCCAGTTCTGTTGTGAAATATAAAAATTACCAACAAATAATTATTGGCAAGTTAAGAGCAAGAGTGAATTATGAGTGCAAGGGGGGTAAATAAAAGCACTAAAATCTTTAACTGAGCCAGTAAAAAGAATTCTTACTGATGTGATCTATTTAGACCCAATACACATAACATACTACACAAAAGGTAGTAGAATGTTCCGTAAGTCACAAGCTGGCAAGAAAGCACAAAATAATGTATGGATTGATTACCTGAAGTTTTACTCAGCTCTGTTGAAAATATAGCAGATGGTGATCTTCGCTCTTTTTGTGTATCAGAAGGAAGTTTTTTCTCAGCTTCTTTCACAAGAACTTTGGGTTTTTCTATGCTGCCTACCTCTGCTTGAGCATCCAAAGCAGAAACATCTGGAGGCAGTATGGGCACCTTTGAAACATCACCCCTATCTTTGGAGAACTCATCTGGGACATGAACTTCTTCCTCTCTAGGTTGTATACTCTTGAAAGAAAGGTCATGGGGCAATCCTGCACAAGCCAATGACCCAGCTCCATCCTGGATGTCAGCAATTTCACTTTTGTGGGATACTTCTAGGTCAGTGTATTCCCTGGCTAATGTAGGAGAAGAATCTGCTTTAGAACTGACAAAAGTAGGGAACTCATCTATAATCTCAATTGGAGATGAATCTGAAAATGTTTCACTTTCTCTTAGGTTTGCTTCCTGAGCAATGAATAAGCCATCACTTGAATAAACTGCAGTATTGAGCTCCTCCATCTGCAAAGGGATTTTCTCCTTTTGGGTCAATGCTGAAACTTCATCAGGTGCTAAGGTATCTTTTGTGATGCCTAAACTGGGCTGAAAAGACTCCAAATACGGTTTTCCTCCCTCAGGTGGTGGTGAAGTGCTGAGTTTTCCCTTATTTTCATGTCCTGTCATTGACTCAGATGAAATTTCAATGAGATTTTCTTTCCCAAGTATTACAGCTTCATCTTGTTTTTGTGGAACTTCGGGTATTGAATCATCACTAAATAAGTCAACTGGTTCAGAATCAGGGGAGGAATCTTCAACTAGCTCAGAATGCTCGGGCACTGGCTGTGCAACTTCTGCTATTTCTGAATAACTAGAGAAATCTGGAGTTGGTTCAGTAGAGATCTTTGTTTCTTTAATTAAATCACATGCAATAGATATGTAAGGAGCTTCTGTTTCCTGAACAGCTACACTGATACTTTCAGGCTCTGTGATTTCTTCCTTCATTCCTGATTCTTTTTTGAGTGAGACATTCATGGCCTCCTCATATGGTGGGGGATTTTCAGGCTCAAACTTTATGCTTTCATAATTAACTGAAGGAGGAGTTTCTAATGGGGATGAACTGAGCTGCGCTGCAGAAGCACCAGCACTAGGAACTACAGAATTTAATGGTGCTTCCATGACAATGTCAGGCAAAACCGGTGAAGGAGTAGCTTCAGATTCTTCAAAAGATGGGCAAAGCTGTGTTACAGGGTAAAGTGACTCCTGCACAGCTTCTGAAGTTTGAACCAGGTCCATTTTTGTTTCAAATGCAATTTTTGTACCAGTAGCTTCATTCAATTCACTTTCACATGCTTCCTGAACCAAATCTGGGGTTAGACCTTCAGGCATGTTTGCCACTACTTCCTCGGTCACCTTTGACACATGATCTGTTGTAACGTAATCTGCCTTCGAATCCTGTGCTGCCATAAGGAAAGGGTTTGATGTTTTGGCGCTTGCATTCTTCTCTGTTACAATTTGTGCCTTTTTTTCTTCTATCTTTTTTTCATCTGTCTTATTTTCCGAAGTATGATCTTCCAACAAGGGAAAAATGTTTGTTGAAACATTCTCAGTTGTTGTTGGGTGAAAGGGAGCACATGTGATGTATGCTCCTGAACCACCTTTTATAGCTTCTGGTGTACTGGGAAATGAAGTGTCATCATTACTGCTTTCACTTTCTTTTTCATGACTTGTTGGTTCAAGGCTATCTGAAAAACGTTTCTTATCCACTTTATCTTCCCATTTGCTCTCTATACTACCTCCAGCAGCCAAAACATCACTATCTTGCTTGTAAGTATCTTTTACTTCCCATACACGCTCAAATGGTTTGAAGTCTGCATATTCCTCCCTCATAGAAGCTTCTGCTGCAATTCCCTTTTCATTAAAACTGTCCTTTGTTTTTTCTGGAGACAGAACTCTATCTTCTTCTTTAACTGATTTCGTAAGGACTGTAGATAACTCCTGCTGAGTATGAAGGATGTTACGACTAACTAAGTCCTCTTCTTTATCTTTACTCCTCACAACTATTTCGTCCCTAGGATTTGCTACTGTTATGGCAGGTTCTGTTTTTTGAGAGCCACTGAATGATGATTCCATTTCTGAGTATTCCAATTCTGAAAACTCTGTTAAATTTCTCTCTACAAATGGATTTTTTGTCTTCTCTGAGAATGCTTTGGAAGTTTCATTTGAAATTTCTGGAAGTGTTCCTTCAGTGGGTAGTACTGCTGGTAAATCACCAAGGTATTCACGTTCTTTAAAAGCAGCAGCTGAGAGAGGAGATAAAGAAGGAAGAGAAGCAGCAGTTTCAAGCAGGACAGACGGAAAATCCTCTTGACCAGCAGAAACAGTGTTACCTGGCTGCTCCTTCAAATCCATAATTTTTTCTGTGGCCATGGACAGAAAGGAAAGTTAGAGAATGCCAGTGCTCTGATGCTAATGCTCAGAGTTAATGCAAGTTTTATGACAGATTCAAAAAATAGTGTTAGTAAAGACTTACTGTTAACTAAAATGCTACTAACATTTAGTTTATAAATAATAATCAAGTAGACTGAATCATTATTGAAGAAATTAAAGCTACGGTCAAAAAATATGTGCACAGCTATAGAGGCAATTATATGCCATGCAAAGACATGAAGTCTTTGAGAAAAACCTCAAGTAAAATTAACTGAGGAAAACTACTATTAACTAGTCTTAGAGGAAGAAATGAGAATCTGACAAGAGTCTAGTCTGACTGAAAGCACAGGAAGGAAGGGGCATGGGATAATTAAATGCCACAGACTGGCATTCTTTTCTGTGAAAGCCTGTCAGCTCTAAGAAAACAAACCGTATCTGGAGGAAGTGACTAGTCAATAAGTAAACATAAATCAAGGGTCCAAGAATTCCTTACACATTTCCAATTATTAATCAGCTTTCTGCCCATTTCTCTCTTGGATACAGCATATAAAATACAAGTTTCAACTTGGTCAGTAGACAAACATTCTTGGAATCATGCTAATTTTTAGTAAATTCAAACTACTAAGCATAGAGTTAACAAAACTAAAAAGTTAAAGTTAGATACACAGAAGATAAAAGGCTAGCAGAAAGAACTTGCCTGCAGAGGAGTGTATCACAGGCTCAGATGCAGCAGGAAGAGCAAAAAGTGTCTCATCTGAAAAACAAATAGAATATAACCTCAGCAGAAACAAAGACAGAGCTGAGAGGTGACTAAAGAGGAGCAAGCAAGGGGCTCAGTTTGTAATAAGTTACACAAAGTTTTATCTACGGAGCAAAAGTCAAGATGGAAAGGAAAAGGAGTACCATTAGTAGTTCCATTAATCCAGATTAAATTATAATTTACAAAATTGATTAAATGCTATCCATAGAACCTACCATTTCTCAAGAGGCAACAACATGTTTAAGAAACTTCATGAATCATCATGGCTTTAATACACTAATCTTTTCTTTTTTATTGGTCTATGTTCAATCTAGAACACTTTCAGAAAATCATGCATATTCTCTATTTGTTATTCTAAGTGCTTTACATGATGCAAGAACTCATTTTACTCCTTATAATTCTACTGTTACAGTGTTGTTAATATCCCATTTAACAGATTAAAAAACTGAGAGACAGACAAATTAAGAAACTCACTCAGTACATAAGTAACAAAGACTCTGGCAATACATAAGTATTAAGACTCCAGAGCTCCCTTTCTTAACCAATATATGCCATATGTTATAAACTGTGTTTCCCCCCAAATTCATTATGTTGAAGCCCTAAGGTCCAGTGAGTCATGTTTGAAAACAGGGCCTTTCAGAGCTAATGAGGAATACATGAGGTCATGAGGGTCAGGCCATGGTCACATGAAGAGGTCATGTGAGCACACAGTGAGAAGGCAGCAACCTATATGCCAAGAAAAGAGGCCCTGAATGAAACCTAACTTGCCCACACTTCGGTCTTAAGACTTCCCAGTCTTCAGAACTGTAAGAATTAAAGTTCCCTTGTTTAAGTTACCTAGTCTATGGTGTTTTGTTATGGCAGCCCATATACTAATACACTACATATTGGTACATTAACCTTGTACAATGTCATTTTATACCTGCTGGCGGGCAATCTTATGCAAAAGATCTGCGGTTTACACTAGAGAAAGGCCCCTAACAAAAGACAATTTGAAATAGTTTGAGAGATGACAGGAGGTATTTCTTTCGTGTAGAGGACATAACAAATTTGGACACTTCTACTGGGAAGGACAAGCTAGACAAGCCTGATCAATAGGAAAAAAAAGAAATCAGAGATGTGACTATCATGAACAAAGACTTTTCTTCCAAGGGTATTCCTCTCAAAGAATTCAAATTTAAAAACAAATAAAATTTAAAAACAAATCCATCCTAGGTATGATACCTAAAGGATTCTTAGGGCTTCCCTAGTGGCTCAGTGGTAAAGAATCCGGCTGCCAACGCAGGCGACACAGACGGGTTCAATACCTGCTCTGAGACGATCCCACGTGCCGCAGAGCAACTAAGCCTCTGTGCCACAACTATTGATCCTGTGCTTCAGAGCCTTGGAGCTGCAACCACTGAACCCGCAGGCTGCAATTAGTGACACCCACACGCCCAAGAACCCATGCTCCACAAGAGAAAGCCAGTAGATAAACCGGTGCACAGCAACTAGAGAGTAGCCCCCACTCACCGAAACCAAAGAAAACCTCACACACCAACAACGACCCAGCAGAGCCAAAACAAATAAATAAATAATTTTAAAAAGAAATAAATGCTTCTTAGATTGGTGGTGAGGTGAAATCCATGACAAGCATTTAAAAAAGTCTCCTATAACCCAGAACCACAGGCTGGATAGGCCACTCACCCAAACCATTGAGACATTTTGCCTTATGAGATTTTATAAAATATACACACATGCATGGGCTTCCCTGGTGGCTCAACAGTAAAGAATCTGCCTGCAATGCAGGAGCCACAGTTTGATCCCTGGGTTGGGAAGATCCCCTGGAGGAGGGCGTGGCAACCCACTCCAGTATTCTTGCCTGGAGAATCCTGTGGACAGAGGAGACTAGTGGGCTACAGTCCCTAAGGTCATGAAGAGTCACACATGACTGAAGCGACCTAGCATGCAAACGCACACATATGCAAACACACTTTATTTTTTACTAATACTTAGCATTTATTTCATGCCTACTGCCAGGCCACGGACTTTTCATACTTACTTAATCTACACATCATCCCAATGAGAAATATGACAATTTTTACAGATGACAATCTAGTAGCTTGCTCTAAATTATACAACAGCCTAGGTTTAAAATCCATGCTCCTGCTTCAGTGTACACACTTTTAAAAGATGACTTCTGTAACCTTAGTTTCTCGTTTGTAAAATAACAATTTGAAAATTCCTTTCTTCTAAGATAATGAATTAAAATGTTGTACAAAACTGAGATTTGGGGGTCAAAGAAAAAAACCAAATAATTACACAGCTGCTCCATCTAAATAAAAGGTAGCAAATTCCTAACAAAATGGTTGTCTTTTTCTCCTAGACAATATAGTTAAAAACCAACTAATTGAGAGACAGTCTATTTGGGAAGTGAACTAGAAACATGTTACATTAAAATTATAGGGAAAGCAAAATATATCTAAAATTGTGCCAGAAATTTAAAGTATTATTTTTTTTCCCCAAAATATATCCTTACTGCTATCCAGAATCATTCTTACAGTAAAAATTATGTTTCTGGCACTTGGTCAAGTAAGAAAGTTTACAAATTGGTAGTTGAAATAGTCACTAAAAAAAAAAATTTTTAAGTCCTCATTTGTAAAATGAGATTCAATCCAAAATTAGCCACAAAACAAGTATTCCATTTCTAAAAGTGCTTGGAGAAAAAAATCCAGAAGAGATCACTAATATTTGGCCCTGAAGAAAAGAGCTGCTCAGAGACTCTCACTAAGGCCCACTATGAATCATGGGATCAAACTGCCTGGGTCCAAATCCCATATCCATCACTTAAATGTACAACTCTGAGAAAGTTATTACTGAGATTTTCTGGGCTTCATTTCCTCATATGAATAAGAAAAATAACAGTAACTACCTCAAAAAGTTGTGAGAGAAGGAAGGGGAAAAAAGAAACAACTTGCTCTAAGTCACACTGCTAGGACACCAGAGAGCCAGGATTTGAAGAAGGTCTCTCAAGCTCAAGTGCTTTATCTTCTGAGGGATGTATTTATGCACAAATGCAATTGTTGTAAATTACATATTCCTAGTTGATCAGCCCCGTAAGTTTGAGCTCCTGAAACAATAAAAATTTGTCTCCCAGCAAATACCTTGTAATTATCCAAAATATTTGACTGCTTCTACTTCACAATGTAACATCTATACTATGTAAAACAATCTATAGATTCAATGTAATCTCTATCAAACTATCAATAGCATTTTTCACACAAGAACAAAAACACTTCACAGTCTGTATGGAAACACCAAAGACCCCGAATAGCCAAAGCAATCTTGAGAAAGGAAAACAGAGCTGGAGAAATAAACCTTCCTGACTTCAAACTATACTACAAAGCTACAGTCATTAAGACTGTATGGTATTGACACAAAAACAGAAATATAGCCCAATGGAACAAGATAGAAAGCCGAGATAAACCCACGTGCCTATGGGCACCTTATCTTTGACAAAAAGAGGCACGAATATAAAATGGAGAAAAGACAGCTCTTTAAAAAGTAGTGCTGGGAAAACTGTACAACAACCTGTAGAAGAATGAAACTAGAACAGTTCCTAACACCATACACACACAAAAATAAAACACTCAAAATGGATTAAAGACTTAAATGTTAGGCCAGAAACTATAAAGTTCTTAAGAGGAAAACATAGGCAATACATTCCCTGACATAAATCACAGCAAGATCCTCTATGACCCACCTCCTACAGTAATGGAAATAAAAATAAACAAGTGTGACCTAATTAAACTTATATGCTTCTGCACAGCAAAGGAAACAATAAACAAGATTAAAAGACAACTCTCAAAATGGGAGAAAATAAGTGCAACTGAAGCAAATGACAAAGGATTAATCTCCAAAATTCAGAATATAAAAGCTTAATATAAGAAAAATAAAAACAGCCCAATCAAAAAATGGGCAGAAGACCTAAACAGACATTTGTCCATAGAAGATATATGGATGGCCAATAAACACATGAAAAGATGCTCAACATCATTCATTATTGGAAAAACGCATATCAAAACTATAATTAGGTATCACCTCACACCACTCAGAATGCCCATCATCAAAAAAAATCTACAAACAATAAATGCTGGAGGGGATGTGGAGAAAAGAGAACCCTCCTGTACTGTTGGTGGGAATGTAAAATGATACAGCCATTATGGAGAACAGTAGGGAGATTCCTTAAAAACTAGGAATAAATCTATCATATGGCCCAACAATCCCACTCTTGGGCATATACTCTGAGAAAACCACAATTCTAAAAGAAACATGTACCCTAATGTTCATTGCAGCACTATCTACAATAGCCAGGACATGGAAGCAACCTAGATGCCCATTGACAGACAAATGGATAAAGCAGATGGAGTATATGTATACAATGGAATATTACTCAGCCACTAAAAAGAACAAATTTTAAGTTACTTTCAGTGAGCTGGATGAAGCTACAGCCTATTTACAGAGGGAAGTGTCAGAAAGAGAATGCTGCTGCAGCTGCTAAGTCACTTCAGTCATATCTGACTCTGTGTGACCCCACAGACAGCAGCCCACCAGGCTCCCCCGTCCCTGGGATTCTCCAGGCAAGAACACTGGACTGGGTTGCCATTTCCTTCTCTAATGCAGGAAAGTGAAAAGTGAAAGTGAAGTCATTCTGTCATGTCCGACTCTTCGTGACCCCATGGACTGCAGCCTACCAGGCTCCTCTGTCCATGGGATTTTCCAGGCAAGAGTACTGGAGTGGGGTGCCATTGCCTTCTCCGCAGAAAGAGAATAACAAATATCATATATTAACACATATATATGGAAACTAGAAAAATGGTATTCATGAACCTACCTGCAGGGAAGAAATGGAGACACAGATGCAGAAAACAGATTTGTGGACAAAGAGGTAGAAGAAGAGAATGGGACGAATGGAGAAAGTAGCATCAACATATATACACTATCAAGTGTAAAAC